CCTCTCCTCAGGTTGTGCCCGGGCGGTGCGGTCCGCCCTCATGGACGCACCGGCCGGGCAAAGCTGCAGCCGCCTGAGGCTCTTTACAGAGCGCTCGGGCGGCTGCAGCATGGGGGGGCCGGCGCTCCTGGCGGCGCCCCCTCCCAAGGGGCGCCCTAGGCGGCTGCCTAGTCCGCCTTACAGGTAGCGCCGGCCCTGGCTGGGTAGACACAAATGTTTTAAACATGTTAATTTGTGAGTTTATGAGAAAATGTGTGTCTGTCAGTGTGTGTTATTGTGAGTGTGTGTGTGTGTGTCTCTCAATCAGTGTGTCTGTTTAGGTACCTGGCCCCTCAGTGTTCACTTCCTGTTAGTCCGGCCGGGTACAGGAGACAGCTGCTCCCTGTACCGGTCGGACCATGCCATAGAGGGCTCGGCCACGCTGCAGAGAGGGAGCTGACAGGTGGGAGCGCTCAGCGCTGAGCGCTTCCCTCCTGTCAGCCTCTCCTCAGGCTGCGCCCGGGCGGTGCGGTCCGCCCTCATGGACGCACCGCCCGGGCAAAGCTGCAGCCGCCTGAGGCTCTTTACAGAGCGCTCGGGCGGCTGCAGCATGGGGGGGCCGGCGCTCCTGGCGGCGCCCCCTCCCAAGGGGCGCCCTAGGCGGCTGCCTAGTCCGCCTTACAGGTAGCGCCGGCCCTGGCTGGGTAGACACAAATGTTTTAAACATGTTAATTTGTGAGTTTATGAGAAAATGTGTGTCTGTCAGTGTGTGTTATTGTGAGTGTGTGTGTGTGTGTCTCTCAATCAGTGTGTCTGTTTAGGTACCTGGCCCCTCTGATCGCATGGCAAAAGTGTTTTTACTCACCTTTTTTTCCCACACCGTGACAGTTTTGCCACAGCTGGTCCTGCCTCAATGGCTGAGATCATCAATCGTTATGATCTCGGCTAAAGTCAATGCTTTCACATAGGAAAGCTTTAGGTAGATATTGCACATGTGCTGCGTCAATAAGCATCTCCTCATATAGATACACTGAATCAATGCATCTCAATGGGGAACATTCAGCGCCTCAATGCAGAGGTTCAGCATCAAGGAATCACCTTTAGTGGCCGTCTGAGTGACTGCCACTAGAGGTGTCCCAAGGCAGCAATGTAAACACTGTCTTTTCTCTGAAAAGGTAGTGTTTACATTGAAACGCCTGCAGTGACATGCTACCAACACCAGAACAACTACATTATGCTGCCATGGTTCTGGTGACTAACTATAGCGTCCCTTTAAGAATTGGATTTTTTTCGTTCAAAAGGACACTTTGTTAGTTTAAAAAAGACTGGTTCCTGACTTTTTTAGCTGGCTCCTAGATTGAGATTTCAAACAAATTTGTCAAGCCCTGATATAGGTGATCACCCACTAGTGTTCGCCACCAAAATAATGTTCATCTACTCAGAAAAAAACATATGTTAGCCCCCAAAAAATTAGAGGTTACTTTGAAATACATATCTAATAAGTGTTTTAAATGTGCAATCACCCATAAATCACTAGAAGTGCCAGAAACCGTGTACAGGGACGATACATCCAAGGTTGACCAGCAATATTGAGTGGGATGATGAGTATAGCTGGGCAACCTTGGATATATATCGTTCTTATACACGGTTTCTGGCACTACTAGTGATTCATAGGTGATTGCACCTTTAAAACACTCATTGGATATGTATTTCAAAGTAAGGTCTTTGATATTTTTGGGCTAAAAATTTTTTCTGAGTAGATGAACGTTATTTTGGTGGCGAACACTAGTGGGTGATTACCTATATCAGGGCTTGACAAATTTGTTTGGAATCTCAATCTAGGAGCCAGCTAAAAAATATTTTTTGGGCTAAAGTGTTTTTTTTCTGAGCAGATATCTGAACTTTTGATCGCCCACTAGTATTTTGGTTGCGAACACTAGTGGGCAATCACCTTTATACATATAATAATTATGGACAATCCAGCGTGAAAAGCACGGCCATGTTGGATAAGCCATGCAGGAGGCGGTCTCCTCCACTCCAGACAATCCAGTGTGACACGCAAGGCCATGTTGGACGAGCCATACAGGAAGGGGCCACTGGAACACAAGAGCTTGTAACACGGAAAGTGGTGATTGGAACGCAAGAGTCCATCTTCCGGAACACAAGATCGCCCGCCAAAAAACAAACACAGATCAAGTACAACTGTGAAAGGTAATCGGCGATATGCCAGAATCAAAGAACAGATGTGAGGAATCATCGAAGGACAAACCAGGGGAGAGAAAGGAAGAACACTCACCACTACACCACCAATGGAATTTCTTACCCTACTTAAAGGGATTGGTGGGGAAGCTGTCTTTATTTGTACCATATTGATTTTAATATTGGTCCTTGAGGAAGTTCCTTTATAGGAACAAAATGCGTAGGACCTCAAGTTGTTTTTTTTTTAAATTCTTTATTTTTCCGTGCAAAGATCATACATGCGGATTGGCACTGTCACAACAGCTAGTGCAGTCTGAATTGTATACATGCTTAATCACTTGGTAGTAAAGAGAATCATGGCACTTTTTTATTTTAACGTAGCTAGGTAAACAAGGTTATAGCTTGAGCTTCACAATATCAATAAGAAACATTTGCTTGGTTCATAGTATAGTAGTTAGACTACAATATGCTTGTTAGAATAGTGAATATGCTTAAGACTTAATAGGTATGTCTAATGTGGTAGCTCACGTTTAGTGTAGCGCGGTTAATACATTAAACATATATTTATGCTTGAATGTGTAAGAGTGGGCATTCAAAATTAAAGGCGAAGTGTCTAATTGATGTCCAGCTAGACTGGCAACACCTATACCACTGGTGTGGAATTTAAAGCTTAAAGTCTGAATGAATGCTCTAAATACATAGGGAATAATAATAATAGAAGTCAGACAGCTGCCTTTGATCTTAACCTGAGCTGGCATTCCAGGGTTAACTAGCAATATGTACAGTTAGCGTTACTGTGTGCATGACTTCCTGGTTGTAAATATTTCATAGTAATGACCGTTTTAGTAGGTCTAACGGTAGTAGATATGTATATTCTAGGTTACAGTGGTGGTTATTATGGCTTAGCACGCATGTAATGCAATTATACCGCTCTAGTTGTTTAAACAGGCTAGTATAGCTAGACTCCATAAGATAGCTATGCTCAGAGATTATACATTGCAATATTTATATGGTGTAGTAGGTTTGTCTGTTAAGGCTAAATATTCAGTAGTTTTAGCTGTACTTTATCCGCTGGTTCTGCATTCCTGCAGCTGTTGCTTGAGAGCCACCGGCTGCTGGGCATCATTGCAGGGTCTGTCCGATCGGTAAGTCCCATAGCCTCTGGGTGATTCAGAGTCCATTGGGCCCGGTGCCGGCCCCCCAAAGCCATGTGGCTGTTAAGACATCCCATGACCATTTGGACTTTGGCCTTAGTCTGGTGTGTAAAGCGTTGTGTTGTTGCTTGGGAAGGGCGTCCGGTTAAGACGCCGTGCGGCATGAGAGCACAGCTCACCCAGGGGCCGTCAGTTGTGGACAGAGGGTCCAGGAGTTCTTCCAGCTTTAATCTCTCTCTGGCTGTCACGTTGGCAGGTCGCACACATGGCTTGCGCTCGGCGGCCATCTTGAGGGATGTCGCTCAGTATGTATTCCACTGCAGGGTGGCTGGGCAGAGTGGCTGCTCCAGGCCCAGGTAGGCGCATTTGTGGCTGCTCATGCAGACCTGGATAACCCAGGTCCAGAGGGGGGTGTCCAGACGCCGGCCGGAGACCCGGGAGAGCGGCCGTCTCGTCTCAGCTCAAGCTCCTGCACGCTCCGGACCCTTTTCGGGTTACCGTTGGTGCCAGGTAGGGTCTTGGGGGGGTATATCCGCATGTCCCAGTCGCTGGGGATCAAGTTGGTCACCTGTGTGGGTTGTTGGTTAGGTTTTGGCCCCTAGTTAGCGCCGATATTTTTATTTTTTTCTATTTTTTTTCCCTGAAGCGGGAGCTCAGACAGAGCACATCTGAACCCGTCGGCAGTCAGGCCCCGCCCCAGGACCTCGAGTTTTAATGATTACATTTAATATTAACGTTAAAGAAAACCATTTTTCCTATGTTTCGGATGGTTTTTCTGGCACCTGGTTGGGAGTGGAGCCCCCCACTTATTTCGGGGGAGGCACCCTTGAAGCACTTGATATCCCACTCTCGTGAGTGTTATATGTACTTGCGTAATTATCCATCTTTTATAACGTATTACACTATGTATTATTTATTTTTTTGTCTTTAGGAGTATTTCAGCTGTATCCCAAGTGATTTGTCTATATATTTCTCTTTGTAAGGGATCACCACCTGGGACGTGATCTGTGGGAAGCTTTACATTATATCAAGATAAGTGATTGTTTGCACTTTTTGTTGCAGGTAGACACATCTAGTTTATGCAGAGTACACCTGCTAGCTGCCAGTGTGCCACACTGACACCACCACACTTTGGGAATCTTCAGAATGGAGATTAGAATAACTGCCTTGCAGGTTGGAACGGTTGGTCATGTTAACCTACTATCCAGCTTCAAGGTTACAAGAAAGTGAGTTAAGACCTTAAATAAAAAAAATTTATGAAAAAATATGCTAAACTAATCTTAAAATTTAGAAATTCTTCAATACTTCCAATTGAGTAGTACATTGTAGTGCCGAAAGCACAACATTTCTGCATGTTCTCCTGTTAAATGGCTTCTGTTCCTTGCATAGATTGCTGACACTTCCCTGAAAACATGCTCACTAGGTACAGAGGAGGGTGGAGAGCAAAGGTATCTTCTGGCATAAGAAGCAAGGGTTTTAAAGCGACTCATTTTTTTTCCACCACTCAAGTGGATTGCCCTTTCTTTTATTGATCACTGGTTCTTTCAAATAGAGATGACTTTTGGTAAAGTTAGCAAATCCCCTACATGAGGCCCCAATAAAACCCTGAACATGGCATCAATTTGACCATGTTTAAAGGACCACTATAGGCACTCAGACCACTTCAGCTTAATGAAGTGGTCTGGGTGCCAGATCCAGCTCGGTTTAACCCTTTTTGCAGTAAACATAGCAGTTTCAGAGAAACTGCTATGTTTACCTATGGGTTAATCCAGCCTCTAGTGGCTGTCTCATTGACAGCCGCTAGAGGTGCTTCCACGCTTCTCACTCTGATTTTCACAGTGAGAAGACTCCAGCTCTTGCCGCGCATGCGTATTCAGCCAGTGACAGAAGAAGAGGGAGGAGGGTCCCAGCGCCGAGGGAGCCCAGCGCTGGAAAAAAGGTAAGGGATTAACCCCTTCCTCCCCCCTCAGCACCATAGGAGTGGTACCCTGAGGGTGGGGGCACCCTCAGGGCACTATAGTGCCAGGAAAATGAGTGTTTTCCTGGCACTATAGTGGTCCTTTAACCCCTTAAGGACACAACTTCTGGAATAAGAGGGAATCACGAGGGAATATTTACGTCATTTGTCCTTAAGGGGTTAAAGCGGCACTGTCATGCCGAATCCTGTTGTTTTTTTTTTTTTTTACCCCCCTCCGGCCTCCACTATATCTAACTAACACCCTAGTCACCCCCAAATGCCCCTAAGCCCCGCACATTACCTATTTTTTAATCCTTATTTTCTGCCCCGATCTATATTCAGGGCGCCACCATCTTTGTGTGGGTAGATGAAGTCCCTGTGGGACACGTCATCAGCCCACACTAGACAGACTGTGAGATTCCCGCACATGCCCAGTGAAACACCTGGACATGCGAACAGGAATTTCGTCCATTCATTCATCAGACAGACGAATGAGTGAATAGAAATATCAGCCGAACAAACAAACACTATGTATCAGTGTATCTGAGTATCAGTGTTCGTTTGTTTGTGCAGTTTATTACAAGGAGGGAGCTACCGGCACGCAGCTCCCTCCTTGTAATATGTAAAGATAGAAGTGACAGGGAGCAGTGCTCCCCACCACTTCATAAGCCCCCCAGGTCCCCTCTCACTCTATGGGGGTCAATATGACCCCCATAATAGCACAAGGGAGATTAAAATCTCCCCAATGCCCCTACTTGCTATACCGCGAGTAGGGGCATGCCCACTAAACAGTGAGCAGCCTGTGGCTGCTCACTGTAAAAAAAAATAAACAAACAACTATTGGCCCCCACCCCTAAACGACGAGTGGGGGCCCTAAAGTAAGATAAGGGGGGAGACCTAATGTCCCCCCCCGGCCCCCACCCCTGCGCGGCGGGTGGGGGCCATAGTGAGAATGAGGGGGGGGGACCTACTGCCCCCCCCACCCCTGGGTGGCGGGTGGGGGCCATAGTGAGAATGAGGGGGGGACCTACTGCACCCCCCCCGGCCCCCACCCCTGGGCGTGAGTGGGGGCCATAGTGAGAATGAGGGGGGGGACCTACTGCCCCCCCCCCGGGCGGCGGATGGTGGCCGGGGCAGTAGGCCCCCCCCCCCGTTATCATTATGGCCGCCACCCAGGGGTCGGGCCCGGGGGCCCCACCCATTATCGTTATGACCCCCACCCAGGGGCCAGGTTCCCCCCCATCTTTATTTAGGGCCCCCACGGGCATGGGGGGAGTGGGGGGAGGTTATTAGTTTTTTGTTTGTTTTTTTACAGTGAGCAGCTATACGCTGCTCACTGCTTACTACACATGCCCCTACTCGCGGTATAGCGAGTAGGGGCATTTAAGTTACTAATACTAAGTAATCTTTACTTAGTATTAGTAAATGTGGCTGAAAGACCAATTTAGGTCTTTCAGCCTTTTAGTAGATAACTCCCTGATACCGTGGGAAATAGGGAGTTATCTACTAAGCGGCTGCAAGGTGCAGCCACAGCATGAATATGATCGGAGTTTCATTCATTCGAATGAAATTGCGATCCGAATAAAGTGCCGAATTGCGTTCTATAAGAAACGAACATACTGTTCTCATTCAGTTAGAACGCAATTCGGCAGTTTCGTGTAAAGTGACAGGAAGCATCGCGGGAACACAGAGGGAAGGTAAGGATCGTGGGAAAATTGCTCTGACCAGCGGAAATGAAGCACACTTTGCTCCTCCGCTGGTCAGAGCTGGTCAAGCGGAGGAATCCTCCATAAGGCAAAGAGTCCCTTCTTTGTCTTATGATTTTATAGAAAATTAAAGAAGACAGGAAGAAAAGAATAACAGATCCTGAGAGGGGGAGAAGAGGAAGAGATTGAGGAAAGGTAAGTTCGGCATGACAGTGCCGCTTTAAGCTCCACAGCAGCATAACGTTCACATAGTAACAGGATAAACCAATCAGAATAAAGAAACACAGGCAAAAAAAGTCCCTCCCCCAATCAGCTCTTCCTCTTTCTTTGCTGCTCCTCACCAGTACAGCTCTGAGTGCCACTGTCTCCCACTTTGTGGGGATTACTGTATTTTATTGTATCTTGATTTTATTAGATTTCTTTTATACTATCATTTCCCTAATCGCTTGGTGCGATCCGATGGACCTAGCTTTACCTTAGGCTAGGTCATCTTTGTCAGTTATTGTTGTTTGCTCTGGGAGGATTATGGTTGTTATTTAAAGTATCTGTGACTATTATATTGGCTAAAATTACATTTTGGTTGTCAGTATTTCATCCTAATTCCATAGAGTGGTTTTCTTATATGTATTTAAGGTTCCTCACCCACTGCTGCCATCCTTATTTTACTAAAATATAAAAAAGGGGGACCAAGGGGAAATAATTCCTTTTGGAAATACAGGGAGGAAAAATTGTGGTCAATAGAAAAAGGGGGAGTATCCACTAAACAACTGGTAAAACAACCCCCACACTAGGTTGAATAAATAGATAATATAAGATAAAAAGCATAGGAAAAACCTAAAAACTCGAACCAAGAGTGGATACCAACACCCAGAAATATATAACAAAGTTAGAGTGAATAGAGAGATAAAATAAACAGTATCACTGAATGGCTATCACAATCAATTAAATGCATCTTAATAAATAAATAAATAAGATGCAAGGAAATAGATAAAATAAATAAATATATACTGTATTAGTGCAAATTGATATTGTCCACAGTCTTAATACAAGTAATAACCAGATCTAGTAATCGGATGAACAGTCCAAAAGTCCTTACAATGTAAGCTCATATAAGAACCAAATGGCTGGTATCCCCTCTATATGCACAGCAGGGAAACTAGCCAGTATGAGCTAAATATGCTCTAGTAACACATTAATAAGATAACCAATAGCCAGACCCAGTCTTTAGAGTAGCATCCTTCTCTGGAGAAGGGATCACCGATCCCACTTTGGAGGATACATCCTTCTTGCCATCAGGTGATGCAGACTTTTCCTGGATTCCACAGGCCAACCACTGTTTGATTTACGCCTGATCCGTCATCCACGCTCTTCCAAATGGAGGTTACCGGAGCATCTGACACAATATATCCACTTTTGGATCAGATGACCCTTGGACTGCAAGGTCCGCAAACGATTAAGAGCGGAATTTCCCAGGCAGTCCCTTACAGACAAAGTTGCTGTGTTCGACACTA